GAGCTCCCAGTAGTAGAAAGTAGATTCGAGCGTGCCAGGGAAAACCCTCGACTACCTCTACTTGAAGCGGAAACTCTACTCCTTCTACAAAGGTTACCGTACCGATGTTTTCCATTACCTGGGGGAGGTCGGGCTAGAGGAGCGCATGATCTATGTTTTGCGCGAAAAGGCTTTCTGGATTTATATAGTGGTCGAGCCGGGGTAGCCAGACAGCTGGCCAAGCGGTTCCACTGCTGGGTGTGCACCGTGGACTACGCCCATGAAGCCGAACAAAATCTGCTTTCAAAACAGTTACAGGATCTTTCTTCTTTCTTTAATTTGCCAACAGGCTTTTCTGGGTATGAGCTGCGCCTGTTGCGGCAGCCTGTCTCGTGCAGTTTGTCCTGCGGTACGTAGCTCACAACTGCCAGAAGGCCTTCCACATGTCAGTGGACGGATGAAAGAGAAACTGCAGCAAGAAAACATTCATGCGTGCGCAATTTGTTTTGGAAGCCGTTTTACTCCGCAAAAGTTTGTTGGTTCCTTATTGGGTAGAAAGTGCTGACGCCTCCTTCCTGTGGTTGCTACCCAATTGGAGCCTTGCTGGTGTTGGACGTGGTGATCAGACGTTTCGCTTCGACATGTGCACCTACAACCCCATAGCGCAAGCGCACGCGCATAGCTACCTCTACATGTTTGGCAGGGCATAGACATCTCTGTATGGGGGGGCACAGTCATTTGGTTTTGAAAGGGAGAAGCGCAGCTCATGGGACGTCCTGGACTCACCTTGCTCAGGTCTATCCCCGTCGTTTAGTGAAGGATTTGGTTGATGCTTTGGGACACACAGCAGGTCTTTTTCCGCGTGGACTAAAACTGGACATTAGTGGTTGCGCGCGGTGTTCTTCACTGCGAATTGGGGAAGCCCTCCATCCTGGCCCTCAGCGTAGTTTTGTTGCACCTCGTGACCCTGAAGCCCTACTACAAGTTCCCCTGGTTGAGCCCCCGACTCTGGCCTTGCAACAACGAATCTGGGCTGCCTTTGAAAAATGGTTGGCTGAGCAGCTGAGCCCTGAAACAATTAGACAGGTTTTTGTGGAATTCATTTATTTAGCAGCGGGCGCAACCTCTATGAGCTTTGACATTCTTTAGTGGTTGCGCAACAGCGCTACCCGGCCTTAAAGCCACAAATGTCTCCCGCTTGGCAACTGGTTACACGCTGGGAATGACTCCAACCCCTCGTCCATCGACAACCTCTGCGCGAAATGCTCTATAGGGGCTATGGTGGCCTGGGCCTTGATGCGGGGCTGGGATCGGTGGGCAGCTACTTTGGTTTTGGGATTTGGGGGCATCGCCCGGCTTTCTGAAGTTCTTGGAGCTCTTCGGTGTGACCTTTTTCTGCCTGATGAGCTTTTTGACGAGCGGACCAGTGTTGCCTTTTTTAAAATCCGTCAGCCAAAGACGCGCAGGCGGGGTGGGGGGGTCCAACATCTGAAGCTGGCTGATGCTGCTGCTGTGCAGCTCCTCCTTCGAGTTTTTGGTCCCCTCGACTCTTCGCTTGCATTGTTTCCTTTTTCGGCAAGCGCTACCAGTCGATCGGCGCCCGACACCTGCTTCTATTCGAGGTGGGGGAGCCATCAAGGCTTACCATGCTGGTGAATCCATAGACAACATTATGTGGTGGATGCGCATCCGCACCCAGGAGCACACTCCAGCAGCACTTACAGGAACTTGCGGCAGACAGTCTCATGAACCGATTGTCCGCGCCAGTCTAGTTGAGGATTCGGACAGCCGCCGCTTTGTTTTCGCCGCTCGTGAAGCACCTGGAGTACCTCCCCCGTGTTGCGCGCATTCCAGCTCCCTTTTAAACCCCTACCGGCAAAAGTGGCCGGAATGCGTAGGAGGTTGGAGCTCTCGAGGGCTGATGGTCGGAACGACGCCGCACCTTGTCAGAGGCTTCTCACGAGAAAAGCAAGCGGCCAGTGCGTGACTATCTTCAGAAGCATGGAGACAGAGGATTCCTCGCGGATGGAGTCTTCAGTGGAGGAAGCTGAGGAATGGAAATGGGAAAAGACTGGAGCATCAGTGTGGGAGGAAATTGAAAACACCAAGGTCACCAAATCTTTGGATGCAGACGCAAGTTCCGATGGAAGATAAAGATGGTGACCCCAAGCCAAAGCTGGGCTCTGGGCTTTGGGGCCATGGGCCGCCCCTGACTTCAATGCTCATGGGCAAGCAAAGGGCATTTTCCGATGGCTTTGGGCTTTGCTCGCCGGGGCGCTGGATGCCTTATATGCGGCGCAGCGCAAGTGACACACCATCCCTTGGCTTTTTGGAAGCGTCGGGCACAGAACTGGAAAAGAAGCTCCAAAGCTTCTGCGACGTGAGGTTGCTAGCAATGAAGCTTGCGGCTGGCAAAGTCAACGGCTGCCCTTTCCCTAGGGCGGCTGTTGAAGAAGGTGGCCGGCGCAAAGCTGGATGTGCGGACACGGGCGCCCGATCAGCCATTTTATTTATAGATAGGGCCATTGACAACTCTTGAGGATCTCAGGTGGCCCAGATCATAAAGCATATTCTTCAGCCACCAATTCGTTTGCCAAAGGGATCCGCCTGGGTGTCGGAGCAAAGTTGCCAAGGGTGCCAGCTGTGTTTGAGCGGAAAACCACATGGAAAAAATATGTGGATGACTTGGCTGAAGTTCATCTGCGTGAAAACTATATCACCGCGAAGCAGCAATCTTCAGTGATACAAAAGCAGTTTAAGAATGAAGCAGAGTTGGGCGCCATGATCGAGATCGGCTTGGAGGAGGCGCGAGCCAAGTTTGACAACTTGGCAGTAGCGTCCTCAGGGGCCATTGAGAAGAAAGACGGTAGCTACTGAGTCATTCACGATGGGACCCATGGGCTGGATGTGAACTCACTAAATACGAGCGCGAGACCAATTGAGGAATCCGACTGCTGGGGACCTTCGTACTTTGATGCAATTGCTTCCTGGGTCATTCTTCGCTTTGACTGGCGATGTCAAACGGGCGCTTCGCTTGGTGAAGGTGGCAGAGAGAGATTGGGGCTTGCAGGCATGCCGTTCTGGCGCGCGAGGCGACCAGTGGCTGTGGCTAAACAAGGTTGGAACCTTTGGTGTCAGCAGCGCTGCGTACCACTGGGGTCGGCTCATGTCGGGGTTGGGCCGGCTGGTCTATTATATGTGGGGGCGTGCCGAAATGGCGCTGTTGGTATACTGTAGATGATCTCTTCTGGCTTACCCAAGAGATGGGTGGCGTCGAAAAGATAGTGATCTCAGTCTATTTCTAGGTGATTTTGGGATCTGCGGAGGGCTGGAGGTATGCTGGGTGGGCTTTTTATTGGATTTGAAGGGCAACTTATTGGGGCTCCCAGTTGCGCGTGCAGCCTGCGTTGCGAAATGGTTGCAAGATTGTGTATCGGCTGGAACAGTGCGTATAGCAGACATGTGCGCAGCGTTGGGAAGGCTTTCCTTTGCTTTGTGACACTTGCGCCCGTTCCTAGGGCCGATGTATGCTTGGGTCACTGCATGTTGTTCCTGGCCAAAGCGCTAGCTGGTGATGGGAGGCTGACGCCTGTCCGGACCAAGGGGCTGGCAAAAGAAAGTTTCAGGACTGATGCCCGTGCCGAGGGGAGCGAATTTTGGATAGGGGATGGGCGCAATGAAGTGCCGTTGGTTTGCAGAGAAGATCACTCACGAGAAGGCGCCGTGGCTTTACGCCGCGGTCATACAGACACATTGCATCGCTCGAGCTGCTTTCAACTCTGGCTGCAGTGGTGGCATTTGGGTTGGGAAAGGCTGATGCTGGACGTATTTCTTGCTCTGTAGGTACTGACAACAAGGGCAATTCATTTGTGGTGTCTAGATTATTGACGGCGAAATTTCCCTTCTGATGGAACTAGCATTGCAATTGCATGTGAGAAGACTGAACTTGGAATTGCACTGGCTCCCACGCCTGCAGAATGTAGAGGCAGATGCTCTGACGAATAACGACACGACAAGGTTAGACCCATGCAGGCGGATAAGATTTGATCTGCAAGATTTCAAAGGGCTGGTTATGGGCGAAATGCTTACAGCCGGGACCGAGCTGTACACTGAGATTTAAAACAGCAAGCCATGGCAGAAGACCAGTTCGCCCAGAGCCAAAGTACGCAAAGTGGACACTTTGCGCGTGAAAGAGCCATGGTTATGAAAGAAAAGGGATCGCAATCGCCGCTGGGTGGGGTGCCTATTCGTTGCGACCTTTTAGGTAAGTTTGTGGGTGGTTGGGTTCCTCCCTTTACCCTTGCACGGCTGGTTTGCTGTGCTGGTCCGGGTCGCATTTCTCCCCACTCCAGGGTTGCGAGTTAAAAAAGCGGCGTGTCCGGTGTGCAGGGGGCAATGTACTGCTAATGTGAGTCTTACTTCCGGTTGGGTTTGGTGCTTCGCCCTTCTTAACAATTGCTAAGCACATCCCGATGCAATAGCTAAGTTTAACAAAGGCTATCAGGGGAAGAAGGTGCAACCCTCCCCAAAGCAGCAAGGGCAAGGAAGCGCACACTTTTCTGCGACGCGTCTGGGACACAGAGTGGTCAACCAACCGGTGCAAGGAGAACCTCGGGCACCAAAGCCGTATGTTTGGGGAAATTGGCTGGGTGCATGGTTTGGGCATAAGCTCTGCCCATGTGGTGGTTGGTTAGGTGCTCGATGTTCTCTCCTGGCGCCGGTTGGATCCGGTTGGTTGGCCATACCGCTTTTTGTCCCATACGTACCGCTTTTTGACCCATACGCATCGCAGAGAAGTTTGCGCTGCCTTGCTGCTTTGGGGAGGGCTGTACCTACTTCCCCTGTTGGTAGCCTTTGTTAAACTTAGCTGTAGCTATTGCATTTGTCCGGTTAGGGTGGCCCAGTCAAAAGTAGTATTGCTCCACCTGTGAACCTCTAACCTGCAGAAAACTAGGCAATGATTGCTTTGAAATTCAGGCGGTTGAAACCCAGACGATTCAACCGAAACCTCTTTTTCCAAGGTGGTCCTAGTTGCTTCCGACTGCAACGGCGGTGCTGTGCTATTAAAGGCCATGATGAATGCTTCAAAGCAGGCGCGAATACCCATCGGTTCATCGATGCAGCATGCTGCTACTAATATAATACAGGAGTAGCAGCTGGGTAGAATAATGCAGTAGAATGTTTGCAGCCTGCAACTTGGGTTTGAGGTCGGCTCTGTTTGTTTGCGGAAATTAGCAAACTATGTATCACTTTTTGGCCAGTCTTGTGACTAGGAGCAAGCACACTTGGCTCATGCCATGGCAACAGAGTCTGGCTTGGTCCTATCCATTGCAAGGAGCCGGTACGGCCATGCGGTGGCGCAGCTTGGCAAATTCTTGATTCGAACCCAGTCATGCCGTCAGCTTGCACGTTAGTTGGCCATCTGACGCTTTTGCATAATTATATACATATATATAGGATATATGATATACAGTACATATTTACACACCAACCAAGAGGACAGCCATTCCAAGTGTCCGCAGCTAAACAGATGCATAATGAACTCGTGCATAGCTAAAATGCATAGCTAAACAGATGGAATGGAGCGATGTGAAACTCATGGTTGCAGAATTTGCGCGCACACACAATCTGTCGTGATGCATAATGAACTCGTGCAGGTCGTTGCGTAAGCTCAGCGGGACACACATAAAGTAAAATCATGCAGCGTAAGCTCATCCTGCCGCGTGCTGCAAGAGCATTATTTGCGCAACATGCCTGCTGAAGTTCCTTTTGTTCAATGGGCTCCGGGTCAGCTGACGCTCGACAGCAAAGGAACACTTGAGAAAAACGGAGGCTTTGTTGACTTCAAGCTAGCGTTTGAACAAGGTACAAGTCTTCATTTCATCAAAGGCCACCAAATGCCGTTTGCGGTAAGTCCGGCAAGTCCTGTTCATGGTCGTGAGGCAGCTGGTCTTCAGCGCTTTGAGTGAACCCAGCCGCAGCTTCTTGACACGTGAGCTGATGGCGCATTCAGAGGAGCTGCGCGCATCAAGGCAGGATGTCCAAACGCAGTCCCAACATGCACACGAGACTCGAATCAGGTATTTCTGTACGCAAATGTACGTTTTTGTTGAAAGCCTTGTGAGCAGCCGAGCGCTGAAGATTGTTGTGAATCGAGGTATGGCCGCTTGCTGCTAAACAGCTTGGCTGGCAGGAGTGTGGCGAGCAGTGAGCCTGACGATTCTGAATAGGGCGGCTGACGGCTGGCAGCAGACCGGATTGTTTTTGAAGACGTAGCGACCAAACCTGTGTAGACTGTTCTTTAAGCCTAGCATTTGCAATGCAAATCCGTTTGATGGCCATGCACAGGAGCAATGCATGACCACTCCCATGTACAGTTGCAACAGCCCCATGTGAGGTGCGAGTGTTCAATACTTTGCGGAGCCATGTCGTTTGCACCAAGCTTTGTCCAACATCCCCTACAAATTCAATTCACACAGCATGAGTAGAGCTGTAGGCACTCTGAAGTGGACATCGGAGAGATGGCGACGCAGGATGTCATATATCATAATTATAAATAGTTATAATATGTAATTATGATATATGATATATGAGTCATCCTCATTTCAAAGCATGAAGCCAAATCATGCCAAAACACTGCTTAAGCACCTTCAAAGCACCCTAAGCATGCGCTGTTCGCACAGATGTTTTCCCTTAGAGAACTCTTTTGTGAGCGGGCTTTGCCTGCTTTCGCTTGCCTTTACCAGCTGGTTTGTGAAGTACTCGCTTCGAACCGAAGCCGTTTCAACTTCCGCATGGGACTGCAATGCTGACTCACAAGAAGTGCATCCCAGCCGAAATAAGCTGCGCAGCATTCCAGTGCAGCTGGGTTCGCAACAAGAATATTTATGTACCATGGCTGGACATGGGCAATCACCAATCTTTTGGCACTACGGACTTGTTCCAATGCAGACTGATTCTACATGCATATATCATTTACAACACCCCCTTGTTTGTCACTGGCTAGGGGGATGAGATTGCCAGGTGTCCCGAATGTCCAGAAGAATTCAAGGTGCATCAAACTCATTAGCACCTGAGGTGCTGATGTGTCCGGATTTCATTTTGAGCGGTGCTCCTCACATATGCACGTGTGATCACGCCTCGAGTGCTGACCCACTTTCTTACTCCAGCATCCTCCACCGACCAGTAGCCTCAGCCACAGTGCTCGGCAGGAGGTCATTTGGAAAGGACTGGGTGTTTCGAGCGTGGTGGTAAAGACGCGTGCAATATGTGTGCTGGTTCCTAACCTTGTCCCACTGGAATAAACAAGTGGCACATTCACTTTCAGCTTTGCACAAATGGAACGTTCTGAGACGTTGCGGAAATGCACTTGCTTCAGACGTGCTTCCTGGTGCTTTTGCACATGTGTGGCTGTTGGTCGCCGAAGGCATGTAAGAGAGTAGACACGACCTCTGCACTGCTGTGCCTCTCTCAGCAAAGTAGCTACCACCTACATGATGAGCAATTTGGATGCCAGCTCTTCCCAATATTGTTTGCAGTAAGGTGGCGATAGGATAGAGGTTGCAGACTATCCAGCTCAATCTCTGGTCCTAATTTTTCCCAGAAGGCCTGAGCTTTTGTGATGCATGCTTGCTAGGCTATGGCTAGGCTAGGACTAAAGAGTGCAATTCGTGGGCAATGCGCATGCAAAACTCCCCCCTCCACACAATCCACATCAATCTACGATACACATACACAGGGCGGCCGTGAACGAATGTGGAAGAAGAACGCAAGCTAAACCAAAAGACTCAAAGACTATGTACTTTGAGCTGAAGGCTGCTTTGGCAGAGGTAGTCGATGGAATTCGTTCTCCTTTTGAGGCTGGTGCGAGGGGCACCCTGCTGTGCATGCTAGTGAGCCAGAAAAGCTGCGTGGACAGATGTCCCAGTGCAAATGGAGCCAAGAAGGCTGACGGTGCCCGCACTATTTTTGTAGAATGGCTTTGTAGATCGATTGGGTCCGTTCATTTATTCCAGCACTACTAGTAGTAAAGATTTGCTACACGGGCGAGGTGTGCTCTCAATGGCAAAATTTTGCAATTGGTCGGGTTTTGCCCGAGTTGCCTCATGAGCACAAGTTTGTAAGCTCCTGTCCTTTTCGTGTGCAAGTTGACTCAATTGATCTCATTCAAAGCACGGTCAGGACCCCCTAACTGATGCATTAACGTGCACTCGACGTACCCAACCGCAAGTATGTACATGTCAAGGATTTTGCGACGATGACAGAGGACGGTGACCCGCACTATTTTTTGCTCAGCTGTTCTTCCGGGTGTTGGGTGCCCATGGCCTAGCGGCGATGTGCATTCAAGGAGCCATTTTCCGTGGTTCTTGGTTGTTGAGGCCTTTGGACTATTTTTTTGTTCTTCCGGTTTGCAAGCTGAAGGTTTTTCGTGGCAGCAGGAGTGGCATGTATGCAACAGTGCTTGCCGGGGTGCAGGGTTTGCTTCAACCAGACACCGACTGGGTTTACACCAAGAAGCAGCCTGGCTGTCCTGCAATTCTTTCGTCAGCTGCGTGGGGAAACGGCAAAACATCACAGTACTGTTTAGATCTTTAGCAATTGCAAGAAGAATGACCTGGGACCCGAGAAGAATGTTCGGCAGAAGGGATGAGAAGAGAGAACCATCAGATGAGAAGAGAACGCACGAATGTGCTTGTATAATGCATGAGAAAACAATGAATCAGCAGAATTCCCATGAATTCCTTTTTTTTCTCAACAGCGTGTTTGCGTTCTAAGGCGTGAGGCCCAGGAGATCATCCCGGGTCTCTGGCTTGGCCCTTTCGGGGCAGCCCGGGACCAGGTTCGATACAAAGTCCTGAAGGTTGCTTGTTTTTGTTAAGAAATGCAAGTTATGTGGTAAGACAAGACTAGAGAAGTTAGCAAGAAAATGAAGAAATCACGAGTGAGATATTGGTTCACACACACATATATATATATAGATATATTGTGTGTGCTTTAAAACAACCTGGCATATCTTCATTGTTTCCGTCGAGAGGAGTTTCTGAAACGGGTGCACATCACAGATGCCCTGGTGGTCCGAGCGCCGGAAGAAGCCAGCTCTTCGGCATATCAGCACAGCTGGTTTTGCTTGTTGGTTTTTGTGGGCTTGGTTTCTACTCCGGAAACACTGCCACGCGCTCTCCATTCTCAATGTCAGGAATCATTTGTCCAAAGTACCCCGACTTCATCCACTATGAGGCTTTCAGCCCTAAGTGATTGCTTTGATGCACAGCGCAGGTAGTGCAAGGGGCAACTTTGCTAGTAACCCTGTCATGTGCAGCTTTTTCATGCCTCCAATGTACCCCACTGCGGCTTTCTCTCTCCACAGGTGCTGGAATGCCGCACCTTGGCCAAATGGAAGTGCGAGCGTTCATAGCACCTGCTTGCTGCTCGTGCTTAGTACCGTCGCACAAGGTGACAATCCATTTGAGAACATCATCCGGTTCTTCCCCAATGTCAAGCAGCTCCTTGACGGAGTTCTAGCACGAGGAGGTCGGATATTAGTACATGGCAATGCCGGCCACTCGGCACAATTTAATTGCCTAGCAGTCAGCTGTGGATCCGAATTGTCGAGCCCGCAGTCAGGAGGAAGTCTCCTTGTCAGACCAAGCCAAGCAGAGTTCCAAAGCTATTGGCTAATTTAAGGTTTTTCTGGCCCATAGTTTGGCTTTTTGGGCGGCCCCCTTTGAGAAAGAGTAAGGGGACTGATGGCCCCTCCAGCTTCCCAAATGTCGAATGTTTGTGCCGTTTGGGATTTTGCTTTTTGGTGGCTAGCATGCTTCTTGTCATTTTGTGAGTGGTCCTCGATACTGGAGCTATGAGTTTGGGCAGTTGGCTGTTGGTGGTCGGCATCAAGTGAATTTTAGGGAGGCCCATCTCTTTTGGTAGTTGTGCTGCCGCGATTTTAGGGAGCTCCAGTGCCGAAGCATTTCCAAAAAACAAATATATACTGTAGATATACATAAATAATATAATAATATAATATATTTGCTAGTTGGATTGGGCTCCCTAGTGCCATGAATCAAGGAGCAGCCATGCTCATGGCCACCATACTGTATAGAGAGAAAATCAGGAATCTAACAAGCTCACTTCCAATATGTTGAGGTGGGGGGTGCCACGGCAATGGACCTCGCTTCTGATACCTCGGAACTGATGTAGGTGCCCATGGAGGCCCCAAAGAAATAACGTGAACTCGGTCGCTGGACACGGTTTTCCCAAGACATCAAGTTCAAATCGAATTTAGTCATATATATATATATATGTTCTTCTACATTCCTAATTCATTGATGGCAGTGATGTTTGTTACGGTTATATAGTTGCATTGGCGGCGGCTTGGTTACTTACGAGGATTCGGTGGCTTCCACGTTTTGGTGTACATGAGCGAGCCAGAATGTTATATAGTTCCCTTGCATTTCCTTGAGTTTTCTGTACGTTTAGGCTCCCTAAATTTCCTTTGGCTTCATGTCCTGTTAGAGCGCAAGCTCACTGAAAGCATCGGCTGCACCGAGTGCACCAAGTCCTTCCAGTGTGTTGTCGCTAAGTTATCCGCGGCACTTTAGAGTCGAGGAGAAACTTCCATGGTACGGATATTTAAGTAGATAGTAAGTAATTAGCAGTGCCACTGGTACGGTAACAGTAGCGTAAGCCACCATTGCACAGTATCAGTAGCGTACGCATGAGTCACCGTTCCACAGTAGCAGCAGAGTAAGTCACCTTTGCATAGTAAGAGCTGTTGCACAAGTCACCGTCGCCATAGCATAAGTAACAGTTGCAGGGTAACAGTGGTAATAGTCACAGTTGCACGGTGATAGTATCCCCAGTAACAGGAGCACAGGAACAACTAGTGGAAGTAACACTTGCAGTAACAGTTGCACAGTAGTGAAAGTGCAAGTATATAGCAATCGCGCAGCATCAGTAGCATCAGCACAAGTGACAGCTGCACTTTCATTATTGGAGGAAGTCTCGTACGAAATGCCCATTTTGAAGCTTTGAGATGCTACAGTTTGAGGAAGTCTCGCAAGAAATGCGTTTTTGAGAGATAGGCGCTGCGCGAATGCCTGTGTTTTTTTCTTGCCAAGTGCGTTTTTGAAGCTTGTCATCAAGCTTTGGGACGGCGGTTTTGGAATGATTTCGCGACGGTCTCGCATCAGGGTCGGATCGGCTGCGCTGTGTAGGACTTTCTTTTTAATGTTCTTGGTGGTTGTTCAACCTTCATTTGGCGGAAGTCTTGTGCAAAGTACTCATTTGGAACATGTTGAAGCTTTGCAGCGCATTGAGCCCACCCGCCACATTTTCGGCACAGGGGGCGCATTCAACACGATGTTTTCAGCGGCGCGCAGTCATTCAACAGCAATCACCCTGTCCTGGCATTGTGGTGAACGATGAAAAACGCATTTTCTTTGCTTGTAGCTGCCTCTACTTTTCTCGGTGGTGGTTTCAGATTTGTATATATATTATATATGTACATCTATATGGTATTTCTATGGATGATTGAACCCACTCACCATTTTCCCAACTGAGTTGAAACTAGCAACCAGTCTTCCAACGCTTTGAACTCCAAAACGAGCGAGCACGAGCCATAAACCAAACAACGTTTGTATAGCAGTGTCTTAGACTTTGGGAGTCTGAGGGTAGAGCGTTGTTCGCGGGATGGTGCTGTCACGTTCGCAACCATTGGAAGCTTGGGGGGTGATTTTGCTGCGCAGGTGCGGCAGCGTTTTATGAGATCCTCAGTTGCCTTCGCTGTGGTAATATGTCATGTCGCTGTCACAGTGGGATCTGCGTTTCAGTCAGGGTGTTGCCTCGAAGCTGTGTTTTCGTGACAAGTTTCAGCTGAAATCGCAAATTTGGTTGATGTGACTGTGCTCCGAAAGTGTCGAAATCATTCCAAGCATGTGGGGTGCGGTGCAAACTTTGCTGAAGACATGAAGATGTGATGTAGTAACGTTTAGTGGCAGGCGCAGGACTTTGTGTTTGTTGGAGGTGTGGGAAGTTGAATTTCCGTGGTGGAGGTGAATGGCGCTGTGCCATCGGGGTTGGTGTGTCAGTGGCTGTGGTTTTGAGTTGCTGGGATTGCGAAACACATCAGGCAGGGCTGCTTGATGTGTTCGCTTTGATGAGACTTCCTGCTTCACTTGTGGAGCAAGTCTCGCAAAGCACTCATTTTGGAGTGACGCCGCGTGACTTTTGGAGGGAGACTGGGCCGCATGCCAATTCGGACCCGCAGAACTATCCCAGTTCCTTCCAGCACGACATTTGGGGTGTCGCTGGCAATCGGGATGATAGGTGGTGTCATGTCACGTGACTGCATCTAGTTTTAGTCTTTGGAACAGGGTGCCGCAAAATTATATCCGTCCGTGATGTCGCTGTGCCATGCAGTTTGGCGTGGCCTGGAGCATGGCCTTGTGTAGCTCCGTGCCATTGGGGGAACCGGACACATGCCTGAGTAGACGCTGCGCTGGTGAGCGGAACACAGTGTACCAGACGTCCCACACGAGGCTGTGCCACAAGAGTCCGACAAGAGAATGCCCTACAAGAGTGTCAAAATTTGAGTAGCGTGTGTGCAACCGGGTTCGACATTGAACCCTGACATGCACGCGTCAGTCCTTTATTGCCTAGCTGCGCTGCTTGGCACCAAATTTACGGTGCAATGGGGTCAGATCTGTAGATGGGCGTTCAACATTACATTTCAATGCTGGCTCTGACATGGCGGATCTGTCCCTCCCTAGGATTGTCACCCTCACTGCTCAGATCATATCCACACACTGTTTCCGAAAATCACCGTTCGGGTCTGAAAATCAAGGTATGTCACGCTCTGCCGCACTGGTCGTTGCGCACCTTGGATGTGAGGTTGGGCTAGGTTTCAATATACTGTAGGTTTTGAGCTCTGTGCACCGATTGTTGCTCAACTTGAAATTTTGTGCAGCCACCCAGTCGTTGAATAAGGTATGTGATGGAAAAATTCAACCTTCCGTCCGACCAAGCGCATACTTACGTTCTAACCCGACGGCACTGCATCTCAATCAATGAAGGCTTTCGGAATCAGATCCGGCTCCTGGGCGCAAAAGTTCAGATAATCGAGTCCATTAAGCATGCATTCCATGCACCCATTTTCTCAGTGTATTCCTATAGATTGTGCGCAACATTACAGTAGCAATTAAAGTTCAGGGAGTACGAGATGCTGCACAGAGTCCGCAGCTCAGTCCTTCATCGTTGCCTTGGTTTTCTTTTGCTAGAAGTTTATCAGGTTCGTGAGAGGGAGTGAGTGGAGTGCTGAGGTGCAACTGCAGGTGAATAGCGGCCTGCTACCAGCCTTTGGCCAATCAGCTGGCGCACATGGGCAGAAGAGGCGGGAATTTGGACGGAAGCGTTTGCTGTGGAAGCAAAACCACCTACGGTCCTGGGATCACAACACTGGGGCCTAGGGCGAAGCTCTGGCAGCTCTTAGCAGAAACTGACAGCTTACACATGCTTCCCACTTCTAACTTTATTCATTTCGCTTCATGTGCTGGGCTTGGCAGGGGCTTGGAGATGATGGACACCTCTGAGTGTACAGAGAATCCCATGCAGTAGGCCTGCGGAGCTGCCCTTTGCGGCGCCGATGGCTTGGCGAAGCAATGCCAGAGCGCTGGAAATAAATCTTTTTCCACCCCTCGCATCAGACAACAGAGATGGTGTCTCTCATAAACAGGACGATTTATTCCATTGCATTCCTACAAGATCCAACTTGAAGCGCACCACTAAGCTTAGGTAGCCCACAATTGTGTTTGATTTCAGGAGCGATGTAGAACGGCCTGAAGGCCTGGCAGTCGCCTTGTGTAGCCTTGGCCATGACATGGCACCGCGGACATGAGCGTGTCTGCGAAAAGCTCTGGCCCGCCTGAGTCCGAAACCAAAGGTAGATAAGGTAGGAGATCACTAGTAGCTTGTTGTTCCTAGTAGTAAGGCCAGGAGCCCTCTAGTAGTGTCCTTGCTCCTAGTAGCGATGCCCTTTGTTACTAGTAGCTTCTTGTTCCTACAGATAGCCGCCGGTGTCTCCCACATATTGCGAATGATGCGGAAACCGCACTAAAACTAACCAGTAAATCAGAGGTCCTGATGATGTGGGCTTTGAAGACCGAAACAAGGCGCGGATGTGGCTAATGCTTTTTTCTGCGCTGAAAAATGCGACACTGTTTGTTTCTTTTAGAGGGGAGAGGTATTGAAGAAAGGTGATGCACAAGAAGGGTGCATCGACCCATGTTCCATTTCAATATGCGCTGGTGACAAGATGCAGGAGGTTTGAGTGTTCACTGTGTTCACCACAGTAGCTTCCAGGTTCTCAAAAAGTAGAGGTTTGCAAATCAAGACGTGTGCAGTTTTGTTCTGATTCTTGCGTGATTTGTCAGGATTGATTGGTGCTTGGTGGTTGGATGTGGTTGGTGTGCGGGATTCGGTGATGCAACTCGTGGAACGCAGCGTGTTGCGTCCCGCTCATTCTCCGTTGCGCCTCACTTTTTGTGTACCAGGTACACTATACCTGGTGCCGGTACATGCCAAGCTCGGTGTATCGCCGTGGGGTAACGACTGGTGCTTTACCATGTAACGATGCGCAGTAAGTGCATTGATGCAAGCGCGCAACGGGTTTTGGGCAAAGGATCGTGCGCGCAACCTTTGTGAAGTTGCGAGATCGACAGGTGAACGTTGGCGTCATTAGCAATTCTCACCCTTGCGATTGAATTGCGAAAAAGAGCATTGAATTGTCAATTGTCAGCATTGTGTTCATTGTGTTCCAGCAGGTTCTTCAGCACATTGCCTTGGCATCTTTGCTTTGGATTTCCCAGATGTTTGGACTATGCAAAATACTCCATTTCTGTTTTCTTCAGCAAGTTGTGGCGCAGCGTTTCTTCATCCAACTGCCTCACTGCTTTGGCTGCTTTGGCTCTGAACTTGGTTGGCTAGGATCAGCCAAAGGTTGCTGAAATATATGAAAGATCAATTGAAATTGATCAATTGAAAGACCATTTGTTTGCCGCATATTTTCAATCAACTCTGAACTGTGGCTGCTAGTTCGGAGCAAGGGCTTTGCCGGCTTGCCTGAGGTCAACGGAACTTCTATTCTTTGTTGATCATCAAAACTAAGCTAACAAGCTAACATAAGAACGAATATATATATATATATATCTCGAAATATATTGGGAAGACACCTTGGTTAAGTTATTAAGGATGTTTGTTTCTTGATAGTTAGAGGAAATGAGATCAAGCAAACCGGGCAACATTGGATTTGTTTTACGCACACACACGCACACACTTAGATCCATGCTCGCAAGAGCTAAATCAGTTTTGAACTCCAGTGTTACTGCAAGTAGACCTTTACACGCGATTAGACCTTGGCTGAGGGAACGGAAAGGCGAAGGAGTCCGCAACAACAGCATTGTTTGAACAAAGGCTCATTAGCACTTTACACGGAAAATTAGGGTGACAGCTTGTGGAACATCAGAGCCGAAGGAAAAGTTGGTGCAGGTACACAGTGCGGCGTCCCACATTGCTTCACCACGAGCTGACAGTGTCTTCGTTGGGCAGTGTCTGTCAGTCGTGCACTGCCCCCCTGCGAATCTGTACAAGGAAATAGTAGGGGTTAACATGGAATAGTGGATTACAACAATGTGGGCATTCTCCTTGGAAACAGGAGGTGGCACTCAGATCGATCCATGCTCGCAAGAGCTCTATCAATTTTTAAACTCCCGAGTTACTGCAATTTAGACCTTGACTGAATTACAGCAAAGCAACGCATGAGACAGCTTGATTTTTACCTAGGGCTCTAGCTTGCCACAAGGACTCATTAGCATTTTGCTTGCGCACTAGCCCTTTACAATCTAGTTCCTGCACTAGCCCTTTACATTTTAATTACTGGAAGAAACACCGAATTGGACAGCTTGAGCGGTACGTAGAGTCCTTCCAAGAATGTTGAAACATGTTAAAACTTGATGCAGGTACGTCCAGCTGGCCAAGCATCCCATTTCTACGGTAGCTTCATTGGACACAGTCCCAGTGAAATGCGGTGTCCCCCTGCAGGTCTGTACAAAAGTTAAACAGGGAAATCTAATTTAGAAGGTTGTGGTCGTTCTCCTTTGGGACAGGAGGTGACACACACATGTAGTCGAATCGGCGCTCCCTTGACTGAAAAGTTAATCTGACACCTAAACAGCCTCTAGCAACAAACGAAAACCTGGAAAGAAGCTAAAGAACACTGGAAAGAGAGAAAGCAAGACGTGCATGAATTACTCAAAGTGAAACTTTCAAGTGAAGATTTAGCACTTGAATAAAAAACTATCATGAAACCGAAAAAGCCTCTAGCAACGAACGAAAACCTAGCAAGACCGTGCATGAATTGCTCAGGGTGAAACTTTCAAATCAATACATTAGCCGCGTGTCATGACATGTACAAGTGGTTACATTAGCAGCATGGCATGGCATTCTGTGTTGAAATCTCAGTAAGCTCTGCAGCTTTGTAGCAGCAACCTCGAGCAGAACGAGAAGCCGGTGAGTATCGTGCAAGAACGCAATCCTGTAACTGATTGCCCTTGAGGGCCTGTGCTAAACACGCCCAAATCTGGGACCACGCAACAGTCCGCAGTGAAACTCTGTTGCGAAACACACTTCGATCCATGCTCGCAGGAGCTCTATCAGTTGTGAAATTCCCGAGTTACTGCAATTTAGACCTTGACTGAATTACAGCAAGGCAGCGCGTGAGACAGCTTCAGCTTTACTTGGGGTATCTTGGAGTTCTAGGCAATTACTGCAGGGTAGAGCTTGACCTTGAATTACAGCGAAGCAACGCATGAGACAGCTTGAGTTTCACTTAGAGTTCTAGCTTGCAACAAGGACTCATCAGCGCTTTACTTGCGCACCGGCCCTTTACAATCTAGTTCCCGCGCTAGTCCTTTACATTCTAATTACTGGAGGAAACACCGAATTGGACAGCTTGAGCGGTACGTAGAGTCCTTCCAAGAATGTTGAAACGTGTTAAACTTGATGCAGGTACGTCCAGCTGGCCAAGCATCCCATTTCACTGGTAGCTTCATTGAGTGAAATCTTGTGTCCCCCTGCAGGTCTGTACAAAAGTTAAGCAGGGAAATCTAATTTAGAAGGTTGTGGTCGTTCTCTTCTTTGGGATGCTTGACTGAAAAGTTAATCTGACACCTAAACGGCCTCTAGCAACAAACGAAAACCTGGAAAGAAGCGAAAGAACACTGGAAAGAGAGAAAGCAAGACGTGCATGAATTACTCAAAGTGAAACTTTCAAGTGAAGATTTAGCACTTGAATAAAAAACTATCATGAAACTGAAAAAGCCTCTAGCAACGAACGAAAACCTAGAAAGAAACGAAAGGACCCCGGAAGGAGAGAAAGCAAGACCGTGCATGAATTGCTCAGGGTGAAACGGGTGAAACTTTCAATTGAATACATTAGCCGCGTGTCATGACATGTACAAGTGGTTACATTATCACCGCCCCCTTGCGGTGCCTGACCCCCCCGGGGGGGTCAAATTTGTAATTTGCAGTTTTTTGATTTTGCAATGATAGCATTATATGAAATTATATATTGGGGGGGGTGAAAAATTTTAGATCTAAGGTCGGGGTAGCCTATATGAGGATCTTACCTTTTTAAACATCCCCTTCAAAGCCTACGTCTTGAGGCTTTGAAAGCAGCTCAAAAGTGTAAGAATGGATGGGCAGGTACCCCACAGAGCAGGGTCAGGGGTCATGCGTCCACCTGACCCTCAAAAAATGTAACTTACAATTCTTGAGCGCGTACAGGCTCAACAAACACACATGAGGGTCAACATGTAGCCTGTATGTATGTTCAAAAACAGCCGTTTTCCAAAACCTGCATTTTGACACACCCAAAGTTGTAAGTTACATTTTTGACCCCCCCCCGGGGGGGTAAGGGAGTAGCGATGTTACATTAACAGTAAGCTCAGCAGCTTTGTAGCAGCAACCTCGAGCAGAGCGAGAAGCTGGTGAGAATCGTGCAAGAACGCAATCTTGTGACTGATCGCCCTTGAGGGCCTGCGCTAAACACGCCCAAACCTGGGATCACACAACAGCCCGCAGCGGGGCCCTGTTGCGAAACACATTTCGATCCACGCTCGCAAGAGCTCTATCAGTTGTGAAATTCCCGAGTTACTGCAATTAAGGCCTTGACTGAATTACAGCAAAGCAACGCGTGAGACAGCCTGAGTTTTACTTGGAGTTCTAGGCAATTACTGCAGGGTAGAGCTTGACTGATTTACAGCAAAGCAACGCGGGAGACAGCTTGAGTTTTACTGAGAGTTCTAGGCAATTACTTCAGGGTAGAGCTTGACTGAATTACAGCGAAGCAGCGCGTGACCTGACTTAGAGTTCTAGCTTGCAGCACTTTACCTGCGCACTAGCCCTTTGCAATCTAGTTACTGCACCAACCCTTTGCATTCTAATTACTTGCAGGAACACCGAATTGGACAGCTTGAGCGTTACGTAGATTCCTTTCAAGAATGTTGAAACATGTTACAACTTGATGCAGGTACGTCCAGCTGGCCAAGCTGGATATCCCA